CAGGCAGTTTGGCGTGATAAGGAGTGATTTCTCCTTCTCACTTTGCTCTGTGTTCACTGGCGAGACGTTGGTCAGAAGCCACACTGTGGAGGTCTGGGTGCTTGGGGTTCTTATTTTATACCTGCAGGGAAAGTCCACCTGCATAAATACAAAGTTGTAAAACTTAGCACCGTGGGATACCACCACACTCCAGCACCAGCAATTCTGCAGGATGAGCTGCAGGCATATATTTAGGCCGTGTGCATGTTCTGTCTGCAGCATAATGGCTTCTTAAAATTAAAGATATTCCTCATCAGAGAAATAGCACAATAGTGACGCTTCCCCAATGGGCACAGCCAACTATTGGTAACAGACTCTAGAATGTACCGGCAGTCCCTAGAGAACAAACAGACTGCTGAGTGGAGAACAGGACCCCATCCAGTCGCACCAGCTCAGTGCTGATCTGTCTTTAGCAAGAACCACAACAAAAAGAACCAACGGCAGCCTCCGGGCACTCCTGTTTCATGTGCGTTACATGCGTTACCTCGTTTTTCTCTTTAAAAGACCATTTTGAGCTGTTAAAGGACAGAGTTCAACCGAGTAGATTTAAAGATCTAAATGGACTTTATGAAGCGATTCATGAATGGAGCAGCAACTAGAAGGGCGCTCAGCGGGGTTGTGCAAAATGGAAGGGTTTTATAGGGAGAGGGATGGGACAGGGGAGCTATTCACTAAAGAACAGAAAGGATTGTTTTTTAGACCACAGTATCTTTTGGGGGGGTTTACTATGCAGACCCCCTCTTCTTTCCATAGGGCATGGAGAGGGCCTCTATGACAGATTACCTTACTGGTGTTGACCAGAAAATTCCAGTCTCAATAAGATTCTATTTCTGGGAGAGGATGAAACAATTAGGCCAGCTATTCAACCGAGGCATGACATCAAGGACTCAAGCACAGATGATGCCATTTTGGGCTTGTGGTTTTTCTCTTTAACAGCGGAGTGCAGGGGTGGGCAAAAGTAGGTTTGCAGTGTGAGCACACAAAATATTCTTGCATTATTAATTTATTATCGCATTATTTGTATTACAACTATAAACCTACTTTTGCCCCCAGCCCTGTATATCTTTTATATCTCCATTTTGCATATGAGAAAATGTTTAAATGTTAAATTGCCCAGCTAGTAAGTGGTAGAGCAGAGATTCAAACCCACTCTTAATCTACATACTAATATTTTGTATTTGGTCCCCAGAACACCCTACACAGTGTTTGAGACCTAAAAGATGTGTTGATCCATTTGGGGGAATAAGTTAGGTATGTAGTAGAAACAGCAAACAATAAAAGTTACCCAGTGGAATCACCAACCACCTATCTTTAATTTTTTCCTATATTTGGACCAGTTATTTTCCATGTTATTCCTTCATGCAACGTTTACTGAGCATCTACTCTGTCCCAGGTACTGTGCTAAGTGGAGCTCAGAAATAAACATGACGTAAACCATATGCATTTTGCACAACCCCGCTGAGCGCCCTTCTAGTTGCTGCTCCATTCATGAATCGCTTCATAAAGTCCATTTAGATCTTTAAATCTACTCGGTTGAACTCTGTCCTTTAACAGCTCAAAATGGTCTTTTAAAGAGAAAAACGAGGTAACGCATGTAACGCACATAGCTCATATCTCAGTAAGAGATTCCCAAAGCTACAGAGGTGGTTTTTACATGATGTAACAACATGGCAAGGGGAGTGGCACTAGCAGATCACAAAGGGGATGCGTCAGGCAGGCTTCCTGGAGAAGGGGACATCTGAGCCCCGAGGTAAAGGTATGAGCAGGAAGAGGAAGTGAGAGGAGAACAGGTAAGACTTTAACAAGCTGAGAGGACAGTGTGAGCACAGGCAGGAAAGAGGGATGGTGGCGATTTCAAGCAGTTCCTTGTTACTGATGTGAGAGATTGGGAGTGTCAGCCATCCTGGACAGGAGGTGGGGGCCCAAGTGAGAACCTCCTGAGGCATCAGAGGAAGGAGATGTAGAAGAAATAGTAGAGATGTGGTGGGCAAAGGAGAGAAGAACCAGGAATTACTGTCCCATCACTGCCTGCAGAGATTATCACAACACAAAAGAGGTGTAGTTCACGCCCTTGAGTTCTCTGTTTCTCTCTGGATTTCTCCCATTTTCTCTTAAAACATGCAAACTAGACCCTCAACACTTTTCTGTACCTCTTTCATGACAAATGTTACATTATATAGCCAGCAGATGGCGCTAAGTCTACATAAATAAATATTTTGCCTACTAACGGTTTTTGTTTTTAAATATATTTTTATTGATTTCAGAGAGGAAGGGAGAAGAGAGAGCGCAACATCTATGATGAGAGAGAATCATTGATCAGCTGCCTCTTGCACGCCACACACTGGGGATCAAGCCTGCAACCCAGGCATGTGCCCTGACCAGGAATGGAACCATGGCCTCCTGGTTCATAGGTCGACACTCAACCACTGAGCCATGCCGGTTGGGCCCCCCTAAGGTTTTTAGTGGGTATTTCCTTCTACTTATTTTAAAAGAATTTTTTTATAAGACAGTACATCCTTTCACTAAGTATGGGAATAAACAACTATATTTTAGATTAAGATAGTTTTGCTTTTTACAACATCGTGAAGAGAAGCTAACAAAGTCCAACTGTTCATTTAAAATAGCTGGACTTGGCGAGAGGAATTCTATGGCCATGCTTCCATGTTTACCATCCCATAGCTGTGCAGTGTGTACACACAGTACCTTCACGGGTTGCATGTCTGGACTCCGCTGTTCTCAAAGGACTTTCCTCCTTCTGGAAGGGTCTGGACCTGCAAGGGAGGCCGAGCCTCTCATGGCCACACCGGCACTCTCCTAGCAACGGCTGCTGCGAGCGGTGAAAATGGTCACCTTTAAAAAAAATAAGAAATTTCATTTGTATTTTTCCTATTTATTATAGAACCTGGGTGTTTGATAGACAAAAACTATCAAATACACAGATGTGCTTGGTTGCAAAAAACAGAATTCTTATCGTATGGGGGTTATAGTCCAGTATTCCTGTTTACTGACACAGAATAAAGGCAGGGCTGTTTGGAATTCAGAGATAACCCACCATGTAACTTGACATTCCTGAACTGGCTATTCATCGAGTGGGGAGAGGGAGCACAGGGATATAACATTTGTGGAGTCCTTTCACACACTCTTACTCATCCTCATAATGACCCTTCCAAGTAGGTCCTGAGACTTCTTATTTACAGGTAAAAAACAAAAACAAAAACAGCTCAAAGTTAAGAAACATGACCTAGCTTAGCCCAGTGCCTGGCATACAGCAAGCACTCAATAAATACCTTTTGAATGGATGGTAACACACCTAGTAAAGGAAGTGCCAGGATTCAGACTTGGACCCACCTGGTTACAAAGCCCATACTATTGCCATCACACACACTGCCTTGTGAGACTAGGCAGAACTGTTTTAAAATGGCTACGAAGTATCATTGCCTAATGTTCACATGGTTAATAAATCCAGGAACCTGTGGTTTCTACCTTCGAGAACTATTTCAATTTCAGGACATACACTTGGTAAAGGATGAGGGAAAAGAAAACACGCAGAGAATCTTCAAGGTTTCTTTTAATTTTTAAACATACATAGCACATGAAAATAACATAAATCCATATTAACACATATCTACATGGGACATTTCATGAGTTAGTACAACTTGTTCCATTTCTTTGTTGTTGAATTCTGCCAACTTTAAAAAATGTTTCCTTTAAAAACACCATCCAATGTGTTACATTAATCCCATGAATGTTAGGTGTCTCTTTTTCTTCTTTGCCTCACACACCAAAACAAATTTGAAGGAGCTAAAATAAAATATGGCATACTTTCTTAGCTGCTTTATATCCTGTATTAAAATATTTACAACTATAAAAGTTGAAAAATAATTTTATTGGCTTTCTTGTATATAATCTCCTACCTACTATATGTGAGCTAATCTATGGAAGTCAGTCATTTTGTTACCTCAAATATAGAGGGCCAGGAACATAAGGGAATTACAAACATTCCAAGATGTTAATTTAAAATAGATGTACACTAAAAATACTCTAGATGTGGCATATTTAATATACAGCAGAGTGTGTTTATGTTTGCATGTAGCATCAATATCTTCAAGATAACTACCCCTTTTCAAAGCATTATTGTTGGGTAGGTTTTATTTTAGGGAGAGAATTTATAAAACATCACCTTTCTCATTGCAAACCAAAAATAAATGAGGGCTTAAAATATGTTATTACAAAAGAGGGTGACCAGAAAGAAAGATTATGTTCGATGAACTATGCCCTGCAAGGTGAAATGCCTTTGCCTCATTCAAGATCTGGAATCTTAAACGTTAACTGGATTTTCCTTGCCGATTATGTTTAACCCAAAAATCATGTCATGTATGATAGCAATTTTTATCTGGATATTAAAAGAAAAACCACTGGATTCTAAAGACAGATTAATAACTTGTTGAACTTAGGCTGACAACTAATCAGTGAAAAAATACTTATCTGGTTGGATAAAGAAATTCGAGAAGTTCAAAACATTACGAAGTAAGCTGTTCTTTAAAAATACTTAACTTGAAATGATGGAAAGTTATTAAACGCAATAAAGACCTTTCCTGGAGGCTAGTAAAAGCTGGAAAACACCCTGAATAGTGGCCTGGTTATAAGCAATGTCCTCCCAGAGGTCAGAAGTCGTGCTATCAGGACCTGAAGCGTCACTTCAGGAACAGCTTCCGTCGATCCAAGTGGTTTCGAGAGTCTGGACACCAGTATGTCCTGGTACCAGAGAAAATCGGAAGCAAGTCACCTCATTGGATTCAAAAGGACATACGTTTCTTTGATTTATTAAGTAATTGTTCACATACATTTTTTAAAAATGTTAAGATGACCATCTGTCCACATGGTATGAAACAAATTATTGAGATGACAAGCTTAACAAGGCTGACGTTCAATGGGAAACAATGAAATAATTTGCCCTTTAATAATCAGAAACACTAGATCATTTGACTGTCTTCTTCTTGAGGGTCCCTTATTAAAGATTGTGATCTTATTCATGTAAACAAGCCAAAGTGATTGTGTTCGATGCACTTCTTGGGCCACGGTGCCACGGGCGGCCTCCTCCTCAGGCCACCTTCAGCACTCGGTACATGCTGTTCTGGAACACCACGGTGAAGTAGGGCCGGGCGTCCTTGAGCAAGGCGCTGCACAGGGGAGGGTTCGCTGCATTGGAAGGGTCTTCCAAATCCCAAATCTCAAGCATGCTGCAGCCAGGCCTGGAGACAAGGCACAGCAAGCCACGTTAGCATGGCATTCACACCCAGAGAAAGCAGAGACATCACGGCGCAACTCCCACATGTGGAGAGACTAATTTTTCAATAAACTAAAGATTTTAAGGCACCATTTCACAAAGCATAAGTTCAATATTTAGAGATAAACATATGTTGCATTTTCACATTCCACTTAATGTTACTGAATCTAATAAAGGATCCATATACGTTCAGAACTATATATTTAAAAATTCATTTTCAAAATAAATATACATCAATATATTTTCTAAATGATATAACCAACCAAACATAAGGCCCATTAGCAGTGGAATGAGACATTTTTAAAAAGTTAATATAATTCCTGATGAAACTCATATTCTTGAGCTTACGGTATGAAAACCTGTAACACAAGACAGGAAAGGGAAGCTCTTATGCCAGGTTTGTTCCCCTCAACCCTTTCCCATTTTGGTGGCTCTATGAGTGAACTGAATGAAGTAATATTTCTCACTAAAGAATATTTTCCTTAGTTTCTTGACTATATTTATAATAGTGGTTTTGCAGGTTTTGACTGCAAAAACCAACATCTGGGCCTATTTAAATCCGTTTCTACCAACCTTTTTCCTTAGTATCAGTCACACTGTCCATTTTTTTTTCTGGTCTGATAAATTTTGGGTTTGAAACTGGACACTGGAGATTATAAATGGTGGTGATTCTGGAATCTGTTTTGTTCTTGTGATGACTGTCAATTTGTAGTCAATTAACTTGCCTGGGTCCCCAGTCGTGCACAGCAGCTATTTCTGCTCAGGATTTTCAGATTCTAGCTATCATTAATTTGTAAAAATTCTTTATATAAAGTTTATCTGTAAGTCCTTCATCAGGTATATACATTGCAACTGTTTTCTTCCAGTCTGTGACTTGCATTTTCATTTTCTTTTGAGGAAAAGATTTCAATTTTCATGTATACAATTTACTTCTATTTTATGGTTAGTGCTCTATGTTCTAAGAAATCTTTATAATTTTAGCTTTTACATTTAGTTCTGCAATCTATATCAAGTTAATTTTTGTGTGTGGTACAGTGTGGGTCATGGTACAGTTTTTCTTCTATACAGATATCCAGTTAGATCAGCAACATTTTTGAAAAGACTCCTTTTCATTCAAGTAAAAAATATTATTTTTTATACTTCCTTTGTTGTGTTTTCTTTGACCCATAAGTTATCTACACGTTTATTGCCTAGTTTCTATTATGTGCAGATTTACTAGGTATCTATTTATTACTGATTTTAATGCAGCTCTGTACAATTTCATGCCCTTTAAGCCCACTGAGGCTACTTTCACAGCCCAGCATACCTTCCCTTTCCATGAACATTCCACGCCTTTAAGAGAACATGTGGTCTCCACGCCCCTTTAAGAGAACATGTGGTCTCCACGCCCCTTTAAGAAGACATGTGGTCTCCAGCTGTTCCCTTTCGTGGCCTACATATGCCAACCAGATCACGGTATCTGATACTGTTTGTTGTTCAGATCTTTTATATCCTTGCTGGCTTTTTACCTACTTTTCTCAGTAGAGAATGGAATGTTCACATTTCCAGCTATGATTGAAGATTTGTGGGTTTTTTTTCTTTTAGTTCTGCATATTTTTACCTTGTATTCTTTGAAGCACTACTTAGATGTATATACATTTATAATTATGATTTTTTTTGTAAATTAATCCTTTTGTCATTATAAAATACCTATCTCTGTGATGATAAGCCTTGTTTTGAAGTCTACTTTGTTTTATAAAATTTCAGGTAATGTGATATGCACACACATGAACGTTACAATGTTCCTGCTTATTTTGCGAGATGCCATTTCTTCCTAATATATTTACTAGATGTTAAAATGATATATAAAAATAAGCTACTAAAATTTCTGCACTTAGGTTTTCAACATTGTTATAGCCTAATTCTCAATTATCCATAGGAGAAATGAAAATGTTCAATGTTGGGCTTAATACAACTAAGCACTTCTTAGATCAAGGAGTCTTAAAAAAGCCTCAAGATATTCAGTAAACATTTTTAATTTTACAATTTTAGAGATTCAAAATTCATAAATTTAAATATTTTAATGAAAGTATTTTTATGTCCTTTTAAGCTATGTGAAATTTTTCTCGTAATCATATAAATCCAATGTAATTTGGCTGTAGTAGCAAATGCTAATATTGCCTCGGCTTAAATTCAAACCTCTATTTCACACATCTAATAGTAAAAATTATCATAAAAACTTGAAAAATCTTTATGAAAAAACATTTAAGATAATACATTAAAATTTGTAAGTCAGGAAACTCAAATACCCTAATTTTTTGAAATTAAATTCTACTAAAATGATAATTTGTTTTCCTACAAGAAATAATTTTCAATAAAATATTTTAAAATTATTTTAGGATAAAAATTCTTAAAGAATCAGAACTACTTTAATAAAGTAAAACCATTGTTGCTTAAAAACATGTCATAGGATCATACTCACTTAGTTCTCACAACACACCACGCCTCTTCTAGAATGTAGTAATTCACATGTAACTCCAACAACTTATCCCTCACTTCTTTTGCAGATTTTCGACTATATACGCCATAAACTATTTTTGTCCGGGCCCTTTAAATTTAAAAACAAGTTCAAGAAATTGTAATGCATAGTAATAGAATGGAGTCAAGAAATTTCGCTAGCAAACTGAAATCTCAATGCTCATTGGGTGGGGCATATTTATATGGCCCCCAATAGCAAGAATTATTTGGGGGTGGCAGTTTCCACACTCCTTCTATTCCGCACATGCTAAAAAATATAGCTGTTTGAATCTTGCATGTACTGCTTGTTTATAAACCGGTTTAGGGTCTAGAGTTACAGAGGAGGATGATCATTCAGAATATTAAATTTGCTTTGTATAATTCATTAAATAATTATTCTGGCTCATGGAATGCATTCCGATAGAGGCTAACTAGAGTGAAAACACAGATTTCAGTAGACAGTTTCATCTATAGCAGCTCTGGAAAGCATATGAGTTGAAGCTGAAGGTAGGGAACAGAACATTCATTCAGTGGGTGCTTAGGGTAGCAGTCAGACAAAGTACCTTCACAGAAGGTTGGGAACCAGGGATGCTCACCAAAACACGGTACATACATGGCTTAGCCCTACCTGGGAGTTTTTATGAAATTCTGAACACTTTGCCATTTACATGTAAGATATTGCTTAGGAGTTCAAGCAAATGGGATGCCCAAACTCCACAGCCAGACATAAAACTTTAAATAATTTAAAATTTTACCTTTAACAATAGGCCAAAAGTATATGCAAAGGAAAAGATTATCCTGACAATTACTAGAATGATTGAAATGATTTCTGAAAATCAGTCACTTAAGAAAAACATAATTTTCAGATGTCAATGGAAACTTGAGGTCCCAAAACCACTTAGCAAAAGAACACCCTGAACTTTCATAAAAGCATGTAATACAGCAAATTCCATGTACTTTCTCTGTTAAAAAGGCTCGTCATTGGCCCCCAGTAAGGCGGAGAAGGGTTTCTTAAATCAGGCGGAGGGGCTGAGTCCAGAGCAGGGGCTGGAAGAGTGTGGCCAGCTCAGCTCCTGGAGGAGCTCCTGGAACGCGCGCGCACACACATGCACACGCACACACAGAGAGGCTAGTCATAAAGATGTGACACATTTTTCATTTTTTAAAAACTGGCTTTTGCTTGTGTCAGTTTCCAGGGCCCATTGAGCCTGCTTTGGAGTCCAGAGGCACATGTCATCTCTGGACGGTCAGTGCACATTTTCGAATTTCCAGCCTGGACATGAGGATGAGAGCGTGTGTGTGCACGTGTACAAACTTTTCCCCAGTCCTGAGAGTCAGCACAAGTTGCAAGTGTGTCTGAACTATCCCACCAGCTGCCAACCTCAAGTCCGCGTCCTCGTAATGCGGGTGATTCACGATGGGGCGCAGCGTGGACAGCTTGACACTCGCCATGGTAGGCATGGCGCCCGCGAACACGGCATCTGAGAAAGAAGATTGCCTTCCTTAATGACAGGCCTTGAAGAAAACCACAAGTTACTCATCTGTCATGTTTGAACCCAAATGAAGAACAAGAAGTACATTTAAACACTGACCACTGGCCCCATTCTCTCTCTTCATTCAGTATCGACTGACTGTCCACTGTAATAACAGCCAGACTTTGTTAAGTGCCATCCTGGTGCCGGGAACTGTGCTAAAATTGCTACTGGGATCACACGGTTTAATTCACACAACTTCACATGGCGGGTTCTATGTGATTCTCAGTCTGTAGACGAGGAAGCTGAGACACAGCAAGGTTAAGCGACTTGCCCAAGACCACACAGCGGGGACGTGTCAGAGCCCCCTCCTCACCCCCTCACCACAGCTCCCGCGGCATCAGGCACTGTGCTAAGGTAGAAAGTACTGTGGGATTTCATATCTTGCTCCAACAATTTAACCAGTTAACTGCCACGATATTTTGAATTTCATTAAAAAGGCCCGCCGCTTGCATCTATAGACGCTTATGGCATACAAATGGTCAAAATGCCAGGAACTGGTAGGCTCCAGGGCAAGTATCGTGGCTCATTTTTAGAACTTTTGTGGGTTGTGAACTGTAGTTCTGAGGACCTGTCAGAGGAAAGCCTTGCTTTCTCCCCTTGGATCAGCTGTAAATGTTCATAATCAAGACGTCTTGGTTTCCATTTGGTTTTATAATGTATACACTTGCAGTAATGGCAGGTATAAATGTATAACCTTTTGTTAACTCGGGATTCACCAAAGCCCATTATCTGACTTCACTTCCAGTTTCGTCTCTTGGAGACAAAAGGACCAAAAACTTACCTGCAGGTACTTCTGTGTAATAAATCATTGTATAATTATGAAAAATATTATTTTTAATCAGCACAATAAAATCACCAATAAGAACAGATCTACTATAAATAAACGTTTACTTTCAAATATAACCAAGCATTCTAAACATAATTTTGAATTGAAATCTCTTTATACGCCTTTGAAAATATTTAAGCCAATTGAAGTAGAAATGTGTATGGATTGTGGCAAGATTCATAATGAAAAGCTCCCGGGTTAGAGCCGAGGTTCCCAGGAGTGATTTTGTTTCCTGGTGACAGCGTCACCTGCTGGAGACGCATGGCTGCATGCTGTGCAGGAGAGGGGCTGTAGGTGCCCAAAGGGAGAGGCTGATGCTAAACACTCTGCAAAGCATAGGACAGCCTCCAAGGGCAGCAGTGCCAGCCAAGGCTGAGAGGCCCTGGGCTGGAGGGCCCCCAGGCCCAGGGACACCAGGAAGACACTATGTAGGTCTGTCCAGCAAAAGTTGGAACCACTGAGGAGAGACCATCAATGACAGAGAAAATAAGAACATAACAGGGAAAGGCTAGGATATTTTTCTTTAAATATACTGAAGTCTGCCCAGCTGGTGTGGCTCAATGCTTGAGCGTCGACCTATGAATCAGGTCAAGTTCGATTCCTGATCAGGGCACATGCCCAAGTTGCTGGCTTGATCCCCAGTGTGGGGCATGCAGGAGGCAGTTAATCAATGATTCTCTTTCATCATTGATATTTCTATCCCTCTCACCTCTCCCTTCCTATCATTTATTTATTAATTTAATTTATTTATTTATTTAATGTTTTTATTGATTTCAGAGAGGAAGGGAGAGGGAAAGATAGAGATACATCAATGATGAGAGAGAATCATTGACTGGCTGCCTCCTGAACATCCCCTGCTGGGGATCAAGCCTGCAACCCAGGCATGTGCCCTTGCCTGGAATGGAACCCGGGACCCTTTGGTCCGCAGGCCGACACACTATCCACTGAGCCAAACCAGCTAGGGCTAAAAACATTCTTTTTAAAAGTTACAGCACAAAGCAGTGAACAACCCTTAATTCCTGATGTTAATGAAAATTCTTTCTGACCATTACCTCAGGGGGATTGAAAGAGGGCACAAAATCACTTTTTAAAAAGCTATGCTTCAGTGAGTGCCGTAGCAGCCTTCTCAAAGTCTGTGCGGGTGTGAATGACTGTATGTATGGGTGCATTTTCACATGTGTGTGCGTAAGACTTGCTCTGTATGTAACTAGCAGCCGCACACCTGCTCTGGTGCTGGATTTGATCCACTCGATCAGCTCCTCCTGAGGCAGGTTATTAAATTCTCCCAGGATGCTCCACTGGCTGCGCAGGTTGACAAAGCCTTGGATGGACATGACTGTGAGGAGGCCAAAGATGACGTTCTCAAAGCGAACTCTGTAAAAAAGCCAGCCAAAGAGCTGAAATGAGAGAAACCGTTTGTCATTCATTCTTCATTTTTAATTTATCTGTATAATTACAGTATTACAGATGTCTTCTCTTTCCCATTGACCACCTCCACCCTCTTCCCGCCTTAAATGAAGAGTCCTGTAGGGTAATAAATACTCCCCTGAGCATTTATTAAACCAAGGGGGGTTAGCACTTGATAATACCAAGTACACGAATAACTTACAGAACTACCATCCCCTACAGTTAAAAACAGCAAGTATTTGGAATTACTGGGTCCAGTTACAAAATGAAGCTTTCTCTCTTCTCTAAAGAATGAAGGAAGGAACCCCGGATCCTTCCAGCACTGATTTACCCCCCTGGGGTTAAGGTCAGCAAATCCCCATTTGGAAGCGTCCTGGGACTACATGCTGTAACATCTGCCTGCTTTTTACGGACATCCTGAGTGATGAGGGGAGACCCCGTGAGCACAGACATGTCTATTCCTCTCAGGAAAAGCATCCGACATTCACAAGATGCTCATGATCAAAACTAAATAAGGTGTTTCTAGAAGCACCTTGGTCTCAAAATTCCAGCTACTTTGTCTAGCATCTTGGCTACAGTAGTGGACACCTTCCCCAGGGACCCCCTGGACCAGGCAGCACAGCACCACAGCAATTACACTGCGTCTCTCATGTCCGAAGAGCAGCCAGGGCTGGTGCTGATGGGCCAAGAAACTCTTGCCCGGACCTGAACTCCACCCAAAGGGCTATGTTTGTGGGTAGGCCACTGACAGAGGGGAGAGCACGCCTCATTGGGTGTCTTAGAAATATCAGCTGACGTCTAGGAACAATTTTCACGGCTACTTGGAGTTGCCTTTCTTACTCTATAGAGAAGCATGACCTAACGTTGAAGGCAACGCTAGTGTGTTTTGAGGGTTTGGGTTACTCCGCAGCCATGGTAACGGCACCGCAGTTGCTACAGTTATCGTCACGCAGTCAGACGAGGATGGATGCCTTACCCGCCGCGAGCATATCAGGGAAGCCATCACACACATGTGTGGAGTCAAAAACAGCTTCAGCCTCATAATTAAAATGGCGAGGGCAGTAAATGCCAACAGCTGCAACGTGTGGAAAATCAGCTACAAAAACACAAAACAAAAACACGACAGTGTCACTTCACAGGTTTTTAAATTAATAAATACAAAGTATATTAAAAGTAGTATGGTTCATTAGGACAAGGAACTTTTAACTTAGCAAGAAGTCCATTAATATTCATTAATTCAACAAAGATGAACTGAATGCCTACTATATGCCAGGTACTGTTCTGGGCATTGCAGATTCGATGGTGAACAAAACATCAGCGAGCAATTTCTGCCCTTGTGAGGTTTATGTTTTAGTAAAGAGAGACAGGAAACAAAGTAAAAATAAACTTATTATACAGTCTTTTAGGAAGTAGTGAGTGCGATGGAAGAGAACACGGAGCAAGGGACAGAGACAGGGAGCACGGGGGGGGTGAGGTCACAGGGGAGTGGCTGCAAGAGAAGTAGGATGACCAGGCTGGGCCTCAGAGAAAAGGTAGTGCCTGTGCAAGGACCTGCACCAGGTGAGCAAGGGAGCTGGAGAGAGAGGAAAATGTGCAGCGCTGCACAAATCCACATGGCATTCAGAAGGCAACAAACAGCACAGCAAAACATCACCTGGGTTACTCTAAAAGCAGTGGGATTATATAAATATATAAAAACACTAGAGGCCCAATGCATGAAATTCGTGCACTCAGGGGTGGAGGGGGCGTGTCCCTTAGCCCGGCCTGCGCCCTCTCACAGTCCTGCCACCGCCTTTGCACTCATCAACCATGAGCCCGGCTTCTGGCTGAGCAGCGCTCCTTCTATGGGAGCACACTGACCACCAGAGGGCAGCTTCTGCATTGAGCATCTGGCCCCTGGTGGTCAGTGCACATCATAGCGACTGGTTGTTCTGCTGTTTGATTTGCATATTAGCCTTTTATTACTCTGCCGTTTGATTTGCATATTAGCCTTTTATTACATAGGATGTATTAATTAGTAGGACACCCCATTTTGATTAAGATGGAGTTCCACTAAGGAAAGGCTTCAAACAAAACTTTTCTAACAGACATATTCATTAAAATATTCACCGATTCCGCACTGGAAAAGGGGACAGAATTAATGCAACCAGAAGTAAATGGCAACTCAATATTCATGTTCTAACAGTCAAACACCTTAAATGTTAAAGGTAATGAGGTGTTTTCATCTATAAAATTGACAAAGAATAAGTGGATACTAAGTGTTAGAGAGGATGCCATGAAACACAGTGAAGTAAACTGGTGCATTTTTCCAAAATTGAGCAGCGTTTAGTCCCTAGAAGAGAGCCAGCCCCTCCGACCTAACGTCCCATCCCAGGAATGGAACTGACAGGAGTAACCTGAGCACAGAAACGCTTCTGCAAAGATGGTCACTGCAGTGAACTTTCAGCAGCAAAAACAGAAGCAACTTAAGTGACCAAAATAGAGGAATGAGTAACTAAATCACTGCACTCCCACCTGCACACAGCCACTAAAAGGTTACATATCGGAGGATGGCATGGAAAGGTGTTCAGAGTGTAAAACTTTGTACATACAGAATGATATGGATTCTGTGTGTGTGTGTGTGTGTATATATACATATATACTCATTCATGCATGGGGGGCGGGGAGGATGATCTACAAGAATATATGCCTAAAAGGTTAACAGAGTTTGTTTCTGAACCATAGTTTTTCTGTGTTTTCCAAAATATTTGAACATGTCATTTTTATAAGCAGAAATTTATAATTTATATTTAAAACAGAATTGCAAAACTCCACCCAGAGCTGTGTCTTTCCCTTTTTAAGTAAATATGTTTAAAAATGAAATTTTTTACTTAAATTTTTCCTAATTATGGGACCCAAAGTTGGAGTGTGGAACATTTATTTCAAAATCAATCCTTTTTCTTTTTTTTTTGTGTGTGTGTGTGTGTGTAAAATTCCTCTTTGGGCAGAACCAGGGGCCTGTGCGGAGGGAAAGGCAGAACACTGAGGAATAGTATGTCTCTAAAAAGAGGTGGGTTGTAAGTACTGTCTGATAAAGTATAAAGTGTGGATGTGCAGGAAGAAGTAAAACTTTGAGGAATGTGACATAGCCCATGTACATAAAAGCAGTCACACTAGGGGGCAGCAGAGTGACAGGCTACAGATGGAAGCTGCTCAACACCCTTGCTCATGTCCTCAGTCCACAAAGCTGGCCACTAACCTCTATGCTGCAGTGTCTTTCATCTGTGAAACAGAAATAACAACAGTACTTACCTCAACAGGTTGCTGTGAGAATGAAATGGTGAATATACGTAAATCGGGAAGCAGTAAGTGCTGACTGACTTTGAGAGCCCTGGAAATGGCCTGCTTGGGTTCAAGTGCAAGCCCTCCTACCAGCTAGCTGTGAGACCTTAGGCAAGTTACTTATTTCCCTAGGTCTCTATTCCTTGGGAGAGACCCCCTGCTTCTCCACCCAAGCACAGAGCTAGCTTGTGTGTCCCAACCTGCCTGGTAGTCAGGGATGGCCCTGCACCTGCAGGTGATATGATCACCTTTTCCAGGCCCAGCCCTTACAACGCCCTCCCCTGCCCCACACCATCTTCCATGCTCTCTCTCCTTCACTGGCAGGTTGGAGCAGATAAGCACATCGACCCCAGAAGCCACATGTGGAAATGGCAGAGCCACAGATGGAAGGAATCTGGGTCCTTAGTTCCTGCCAATCAGGACTCCTGCTTTTAACTTTAAGTGAGCCAAGGATTAAACTACTACTAAGTTATGTTAGTATTTATCTCTTTAACAGGTAGTATCACCTAATTAACATAATTTATTTGTAAAATGGGAATATTATTATGCGAATTAAACATCAAGAGTACATAGCACATAGTAACTATTCAAAAAATAGTTGTCATTATAAGCTATTCCTACTAAGTTCAAATTTAGTTGCCCTCTCTGGTAAATTTGATCTTTCCTTTAAGACTCATAGTTCTATTAGTAAATCATATATCCAGCCCCTTTACGTGCCATAAAATAATTTAGCACCATATAAAATGCTGCCTTATCTTTTTCATGTCTCCATTGAAAATCTACACACATTTGAGAGGGCAAGAACCCTGCTATACAGTCTTTTGTAACCTGCAACACTGCTAAAGCTTGTTGACTGACTGACCGTCCCCTCTGTGGGGCAGGAGCCCAGGCCCAGTGATAGAGCCACGGGTAACCATCCTGATGGCTGAACTAGCTCAGCAGGCAAAAAGGTAATGTTTGTTATCGTCAAATGAATGAAAGAATAAATGAATGGGGGCAATTATTTAATTATGCTCCATGGTCATACATCAACCTTCTAGTTTCCCAATCCTTACTACCATTCAGATTAAACAGAGCAGATTAAAACGTGAGAAGGACCAGCAGAAATTTACCACCACGGCTGAACCACTCAAGCAGTGCTGACAGTTGCCGGCAGCATGGTTTAGACCTTGACTAACTGGCCTTGAGTTAGAATCGAATACACAAAGTCTACCAGAGATGAAAATGAAGGCTTTACCTCACCATGTTCAAGGAGCTGTTTTCTGGAATAAAACAAAAATATTCTCTATTTACTAAATGTCCACTTTATGATTACATAAAAATACACTTTATTTCTTCTTAGATCTTAAAATTTTGATTCTCTCTAAACTACTTAGAAGCATAAAAGGAAATAAATATATTAGGTAAATCATTAAAAATCAGAGCAATCTAAAAGGCATGACTTATAGTCATCCTATTTAAGGTGTCTCTTTAAAAGATAAAACTAAAGGCCTGGTGCACAAATTTGTGCACGGGGGTGGGGGGGGAGTGTCCCGGCCTGCACCCTCTCCAATCTGGGACCCCTTCCCTCTCACAATCCAGGACTGTTGGCTCCTAACCACTCGCCTGCCTGCCTACCTGACTGCCCCTAACCACTTCTGCCAGCCTGATCACCCCCTAACCGCTCCCCTGCTGGCCTGACTGACGTCTAACTGCTCCCCTACCAACCTGGTTGCCTCCAACTGCCCTCCTCTGCCAGCCTGTTCACCCCCAACTGCCCTTCCCTGCTGGCCTTGTCACCCTCAACTGCCCTCCCCTGCTGGCCATCTTGTGGTGACCATCTTGTGACAATGTTCCAGCGGCCATCTTGTGATGACATCACACAATGCCACCTAGGCTTTTATTATATAAAATAGGTTTTACTAACTGCTGGAGAATGTGCCTCTGAAGGGATAAATTAATAAGAAGACTGTCTATTCAACCATATAGAGTGAATGCAAAACTTTAAGCATTGCTGGACTTCAGAACTGTTTTCATTTTTCACAATTATAAACACCATGAACATCCTTGTACATAAAACTGTGAGCATCTCTGAGTATTCCCCTAGCATAAATTCCTAGAAGAAAAGTTACTGGGTAAAGTCTGTAAATATTTTTATTTCCAGAAAGTTGTCTAATAAATTTACTAAATATTTACAGCTAGAAATTGACTAAATGTTTAGGGCAGTCTTACTGTGTTCTAGGTACTGTGCGGTGAACACAGAATGAACAGCACTGATACTGGCTCTATCCTCAGAGAGTTCATATTAGACTCATATTAGAGTATATGACTGCCTATTTTTATGTTTCATTAAAAAAATTAGATGTTTTAGTTTTATAGCAAAGCTTTACAGGATGTAGAGGCCTTCTAATATGAATTTTCTTAATCATAATGCTGAAGTTTAATGAACATTCATTTAAAAAATTGATAACAGCAAGTCATTTAATATAATATGATTTAGAAAAAACTGTGATATCATTACCTTTGATAAGTGTTTGTACATAAGACACATAAAACATCACGGAAAGTCTGTGAATAGAATCAATGAAAGTTTTCTAAGAAATATTTGACATTTAAAATGTTCTCATTAACATAAACACACCCAATAGAAAGTTGGTTTTTTTTCATCCTCACCTGAGACAATGTTTTTACTGACTTTTTAAGAAAGTGAGAGTAAAGGGGAAAGAGAGAAACATCTATGTGAGAGAGAAACATCAACTGGTTGCCTCCCATACACAACACAACTAGCGATCTAACTTGCAACCTGGGTACGTGCCCTGACTTGGAACTGAACACCCTCCCCCCGACCTTTCAGTGCACAGGATGACACTCCAACCAACTAAGCCATCCGGCCAGGGCAAAAAAAGTGTTTTTATTGTCCAAATCATTCAGTTTTTACCAGTTGTCCCAGTTACTGGGGTTGACCAGTTGTCCAAGCCATTGAGGGCTGACCAGTTGTCCAAGCCATTGGGGTTGAGCAATTGTCCAAGTCATTGGAGTTGACCAGTTTTCCATGTTACTAGGGGTTGACCAGTTGTCCATGTTACTAGGGGTTGACCAGTTGTCCATGTTATTAAGAGCTGTCCAAGTCATTGGGGGTTGACTAGCTGTCCAAGTCATTGGGGTTGACTAGTTGTCCAAGTCATTGGGGTTGACTAGTTGTCCAAGTCATTGGGGTTGACTAGTTGTCTAAGTCATTGGGGTTGACTAGATGTCCAAGTCATTAAGGACCTGGATCAGGGGTAAAACTACAGAGATGTGGAGGGGGTGCCTTTCTCACTCATAAATTACTCACATTCTATGTGAAAACAAAGGAATGAGAAACATGGGAACTGGAACTACAGAGAGAAGATAAGCAATTTGATTCTAAACACCAAAAACTAGTTTCAACAGACCACCCTTGGTAGGGGGTGGGGGTAGAGAAATCATGTTATTGTTATCTGCCCAAAGCATAAAATAAATATATACTGACTTAAGGCAAGACAACTTGTAAACCATACAAAACTAGTTCAAAATTGCTAAAACTAAGGACCCACTGTCTTTAACCAGGCTTCCAGATCACTATTTCTTCTATAGTGATAATATGTTCTTTTGTTATGAAAACAATGAACACATACAGAATGATTTAACAGCTATACAAATTTTTTCTGTGCATGTCTCCAAATGGATCAAAATTTCTTGGAATGAGCTTTATATTTGAAAGATGAAAACTGTCATTCTAACCGGTTTGGATCAGTGGATAGAGCGTTGGCCTGTGGACCGAAAGGTCCCAGGTTTGATTCCGGTCAAGGGCATGTACCTTGGTTGCAGGCACATCCCTAGTAGGAGGTGTGCAGGAGGCAGCTGATCGATGTTTCTAACTCTCTATCCCTCTCCCTTCCTCTCTGTAAAAGATCAATAAAATATATTTTTTAAAAATTAAAAAAAAACTGTCCTATACTTCACTTTCATAGCATCTGTAACAACTATAATTCTTTAGTCATTTGTGTGGTTTTAAGTTTAAGGCCCCCCAACTCCCATAGGGTATAAGTTCTAAGGCACAGGCCTGTCTTTTTGTACCTACGATGTTAACATCTTCTTGCTACATGGTGGGTGATTGATACATTTCTTTTGAGAGGATACATGAAAATACCTTTTATAATGTGGCTTTCTAAAAAAAACAAAAAAAAACCCCACATAATACTAGATTAAAAAAAAAGATTTCAATAAAAAACGGTTTTGGGGAAGGGAAGAGTTCATCCTAAAAATAAGACAGAATTCTGAGATATTATCAATCTTTATAAGTTCTTATCTTTAACCCAAAGTGTTAAAAAAGTTAAATACCTTTTTTAAGATGAAATAAGTAATCACCATAACAAGTGGAAGCAATAACGTCCTTATGTATCTCACTGGAGTCTGAAATAAAACAAATTATTCAAAATAGTCATTTATTAAATTTTAAAGTAAGATTAGTAGTGTCCCTTTGCTGGCAACGTCTTGTTTAAAATTTTTGTAGTATTTGGGGTATTAAATGAAATAAAACTGAATTTTTAAAAAACATAAATAAGAATTTGGATTTACTTTTTCTGGGTAGTCCCATACCTCCAACTGACCTAGATTATTACAAGTGATTGAACTGTTGTAATAGTCATTCACTGTGGATCACATGATATGTTAAGCACCTCCCTGGATTATCTCATTCAACCACCACCAATAACTTGGTAAGATAGGAGCCCTTGTTTAGTGCTTTTACACATGAGGAAACAGGTGAGGAAGGCCATGTGATTAGCCAAAGTTACTGTGAAAAGTGATAGGGTAAAATTTGGATGTTTCTGAACAAAAATTTTGAGTTTCAGATTCAAAAGAAAACTTCAGAGCAAAAAATTATACCAGTAGAGAAAGAAAAAACAAAACAAAACAAACAAACAAACAAAAAACTAACAAACCGCTTTTTCCATAAAGCCAAATTCAGGAGCACAGGTGTAAATTAAAGTATCAAAATCTGTAAACCTCAAGATTCTCGCCGCAATTAGGTCACTCAGGCGAATCTGGAAGAAAATAGAGTAAAGCAAATTAAAATTATGCCAATAATTGCAGTCAGTAACAACTCATTTGATATTATGGTAATAAAAGCTACAGAGCACATAAATCCGGTACCTGGTGTCCCTCTCAAAGGAAAAAAAGAATACAGTGAGTAATACAATACATGCTATATGCTGAACTATGAAAAAAAAATGTCAAGAGAAATGAAAAGTTGAAAGAGGTCAGAAAAAATAAGAGGAGATGATAATGTAAAGAGTGAGTTAAAATCAATATTTGCTGGGCAGAAACCACCATGCAGTTAATCATGAGATTTTATAATCACATCATTTATCAAGAAAAAACAATTTCATGTTAAGCCCTTTTACCACACATTGTAAATCATGAACCAATTTTCTATGCGCTGTCATTTTCATAAAGCCTCATGCATCGATTACAACTTTTGGTGCTTCTTGAATTTCTCGGACGCACAATCAAGCCATTAAACATGACAGCTGTCCTTCAGAAGGGTTACAACTGCGCACACCACTTTGACTTAGTTCCTTGATCCCCAAGGCCTCTAAAATAAGCACCGCCAAACAAACCCCAGTGGGACTCCTATGTTCTCCGGATTGTTTTATTACCTGCTGTCGGGGAGACAATTCTTTTTCCACTGCATTCTCAGATGGCCAGATTAACCAGGGAAATAGTTGGTATAGAAAACCTTAATTCAGAGTATTTTACAGAGACAGAAATTATTTTATATCAAGCTTATATGATTACCTGTGGTTCTTCATGGTTCCCATCATCTACCAGGATCAAGAATAAGTGAGAGTTTCCTTTATTGTTCTAATTTAGAGCAAGCCTGGTGACTAATAATTTAACCAAAACACTTCAGTTTCAACTCTTTCTCACTGCTGACTCTTTCTCACTGCTGTCACAGAGGAAGTCATGTACCCAGGATGTGTGTGTGTGTGTGTGTGCATGCATGTGTGTGTAAGATTTGTAAAGAGTCGGGTGACAACGTGGAGCGAGGCAGGAAAGAAAACCACTGATGAACGTAACAGGTAAATAAATAACCTAGGAGAACTAAAGAAAGTTTATCATAAAATATATACTCCCCAGAGAATAAAAAGTTAAGAACAAAAGGGGAAAGAAAAAAAAAAAGAAAAGGTGTCAGATACACAGAGAACAGCAGCAGCAAATAACCCTAACAAACCACTGTGCAAAGCTAGCAATAAATAGCAAATAAATCTTTACATTCTGAAGTTGTATTTCACATGCACATGTATGCAAGTTCAATTCTATTGGATAATGACAGCGCTTGACCTTTTAGAGAGTAAATACCACACCCCTTGTTAAAGTTGAAGTGATTTCAACATTAGATAGGGTCTTAGTTGGATAGTACTAGATAAGGTAAACTTCAGAGTAGATAATTGCAGGATTCATGCATGTATGCTCATATCCCAACAGTAAGTGCTAAAAATCAAAAGTAAATTTATACACTGTTTCCTATTCCTTAAACTAATTTGTAAGTAGGGACTTATGTTTTAAAAAGGGCCATTGTTAAGGCATTAGCCTAAAACAAGCAGAAATGCCACTCATGAGGGGTAAGTGGTCCATGTATTTTCCAGAAGATAAAAAGATAGAGAACTTTTAAGAAAAATCTTTTAAGACATCAAATCATCTCTTACATTTAATCCATAATTATGAATAAAAATATTGGTATTTTAAGAGTTCTATGTTTCAAAGCTGAGTACAGACTGCTCATGTGCTAACATCTGCAATAAGTGATTAAATAAATAATTCAACTGAAATAAACAAATTAACTACTAAACATATAATAATTTTTTTCCTAGAAGGCTAAGTCAGCACTCATTGGTACACATTTTTCTCAGTATTTACTCTACCAATAATTAGCTTGGGGCCCTTGAAGAAGGCACTTAATCTATATAAAATTAAGGGGTAAAAAAATAGGCAGTTCCAAAGTTTTCACCCAGGTATACATGTTTACAAAACATTTTATGTTTTAACTGGAAAGTACTTACATGATCTGAAACGCCAAAGATTTTAGATGTCAGGAATTTCAAAATGATTGTTCCACAAAACCAACCGAAACACTGAATTAGCTAAAGAATAAATAAAATAGATAGAAGTCAGGTACTAAAAATTACCTAGTTAAAATATTCAATCATATCAATAAATGGCATAGAAAAAAATTTAATCACTCCAAGTACCTCACCTGTACAACCAATGAAGCTAAAGAATTTTATTAGATTAAGAAAACTCCCTGCTATTTCTACTGTGCTACAAGTTTTTTAACATAAATGGGTGTTCAACTGTATTAAATTCATTTTCTGCATCTAATGGGATGATAGTCACTTTTCTCCTTTAATCTGTTAGTGTGATAATTTATATTTATGGATTTTCCAGAAACGTATTTGCATTCCTGGGATGAACCCAATTTGATCAGAATGAGGGTACATAATTATATACAGGTGTTTTCTTTCAAGTGGCCACATGACAGTAAAGAATATTAAAAATAGATTTTGATCAATCATAAGTGACAATTTTTTGTTTATTTTTACTCTCACTCAATATAAAAATAAGACCTCCATTGTTTTCAAATTTTCCAGTTATGACAGAGTAAGATATGCAATATAATCTTTATTCCACTACCATGAAAGAATTACTTGAGAAACAAAATAGGTTTCTTGTAAGAAAAAGTGTCAGTTCACAAAATATCTTTGCTTTTCCTTTTTGACTGGCTTTTTAAAAGCCAGGACATCTTTTGCATGGGTTTAGATGACTACCATGATTTGTTTCTCCCTTATGCAAGAGACTGATGATAAAAATTATACAAGTTTCAAAATACAAATATATGCTGAACATTCATTACATCTCAACTTTTCTCTTCTTAGAATTTTGTTTCTTTCAAATTACTAAAATGAAAGCATAAGTTCACTTTTATTCTTTCCAGTCTAAAACTGAAAATGTTTAAAACAATAAATTTGCCTCTGCAAATGCTTTGACAGAATTCTCTAAATGTTCACAGACACTGTCCTATGTTGTCATTTTTCAATAGTTTATCATTGAAATTTTCAACTTCTTTGAGTACAGTTATTAAATGAAAACTTTGACTTTTCTGTTGATTTTTTGGTTTTAAAATTACCATTTCTTTCTGAAGTAAAATTACCATTTCTTTCTGAAGTAAAAAAAAAATCATATATTGAAAGAGTCATGTCACCAATAACTTAAGGTTACAAATATTCCTACATGTTCACTACAAGGGATGGGAGAATTCCTCAAGCAAGGAGAAACTGGCAATACATTCCACTTTGTTCTTTTGCTTTCTGAAATGTACTTCCTTATCTTACCATAACTTTTCCAGTTTTACCCTATTGATATACAATATATAATCACATAGTCCTTCAATATGGCAGGTTCTAATTTTTAATAGAAGTCAATCAAAGAAAAAGCATGAATGTCATCTGCTGATATTATGGTAATTAGTAATTGCAGTGCCTCCCTAATAATATACTTATTTTACTTGGAAACAAAATACGCATACATAGAGGTAACATGGCCCACCCATTTGTATACTTGGGAGGAAGTCAAAGATTAAGCAGTGTCTAAGTTGAAATAAGAGGAGGCTGGGAGATTATGGAGAAATAAATAGTACTGAAATAAATGAACAAGTTTCTTAAAAATGACTTGTAGATGTTGCTAAGGACTATTTCCCACCTTAAGCAAGTAGCTATTTATAAGACTGATTAACTCTAAATCATTCCTTTTTAAGTACAATTTTATCATGTTCAGTTTACAGAAATAAAGAGTCTAAAGAAATTATGTTTAAAATGTTGAATCTTACCCAAAAGTTGAGTTCAGATACACCCAATCTTTGAATGTTATTTCTCTTTAGAATTATCACCTAAAGTACATTTAATAAAAAAATGAAACAAAATTAACAATCATATTTTATATGAATTATATGTTTCAAAAATTACACAGCCACCCCATCTTCTATCTTGCCTACACCAGCCATTTTCCTTCTTAATTGTTGATTTTTCAAAATTTGAAAATGACAAATTTCCCTTGGGGTGAGGGATAAATGCTGTGTGTGCTAAAAAGTTGCCTCTGGAATCAAGTTAATTCCTCACTGCATTACTTGGGATGTTTTGTGTAGGGCAACTCCTCGGATGAGGTAGATGGTGTGTGGATGGTGTGTCCATGCCAGTGGATATGTAAGCTATCCAGAAAAATTAGTGGTTTAAGTCAAAAATCCTTCCTCTCCAAACTCCCAAATAAAATTTTTTGAAAATTTTTTAAAACCTAACTTGACTTTTAAGAAAGAAAAGGAACTTTCCAGATACCAGACAAAAGAAGGCGATTTTAAAAATGAAAACATTAATTAGGTGAGAACGTATGGCAGTCTTTAGGGAGGACTGTAGAGAGAGGCTACAACTACATGCGAGTATTAAAAAGGAGGGCAGCAGAGAAGGGCTTGGAGTTATGAAGGTAAGAAATTGAGACTCATGTGTAAAGCCAGGGTCCTCAAAAATCATACTCTCGGTTCTATCAATGAAATGCTTACGTCCCCCACCAAATGCATGTGCCGATACCCTAATCTCCAATGTGACATACTGGAATGAAACCAGTGGGAGTTAATTAGATCTCTAATGGATAGAATTAGTACCCTTCTAAGGAGAGACATGAAGGAGATGATTTCTCTGTCCTCATGTGAGGATAGAGTGAAGGCATCTGATTACACATGATGAAGAGAGCCCTCACCAAGAATCAAATCAGCTGCATCTTGGTCTCGGACTCGCCAGGCTCTGGAACTATGAGAAATAAGCCCCCAGCCTATGGTATTTGTGTTGTAGCAGCACCGCTAGCTTCACTTGTGCAGTGCCATACTGACACCTAATATTATATTCCTATTAGTGCAAATCTCGTCATGGAGTCTAATTTGCCCTCATTTTTGAGCCATATATTGCTAGGTATAGAACTGTGCATTGACAGTATTTTTTTCTGTAAATATTGTATAAATATGTTGCTTAACTGTCTTATTGCTTGCATTTTTTCTTGTGAAAAATCTGCTGACATCCTTACCCTTTGTTCTTCTATATTTAACACGTCTTATTAGTATTGTGTCTTTATCACAGATTTTGAGCAATTTCATTATATATGCCTTACTACAGTTTTCTTGGATTTGGGATTTACTGAGATCCTTTATCTCTGAGTTAATAATTTTCATCAAATTAGAAAAATTTTGGCAGTTATTTCTTCAAATATTTTTCTATCTCTTCCCAACTCTACATATTTAGACATGTACTTTACTTTTCCTATATTAACTGCAAATGAGGGACTGGACTATCACCAATGTGCAATTTCTACTGAGTTAATGGATCTGGTACAATGTGTTGATGACTACTATCATAAAAAGGGAGGCTCTGGTCATTATGTGCCTCCTGATAAAAGAACAATACTATGCTAAAGGGATAAAACCTTAACCTATCCAAGCTTTGGATTCAATTATTAACACATTATAAATACAGAAGACAGAGGAGGATGTAAAGCTAAACCATGAGGATTCAAAAAGTAAAATCTAGACCATAGAATCCTCTACACGTTCAATGACCTAGGCTCTTACATTTCCTAGGAAAGAAAACAGGCAGATATATAGGAAACCTATAGATTAAAAATAGAGATGTAAGTGAAATGAAAATATAAAGGAAGTCTAGGAATGATTACCATAGTCAAATCATTATTGGGACAGGATGGTTGGAAAAATTCTGATTTTTGACTTGATGGCAGTTTATTTTCCAAATAGCAGTTCATTAATAAGTACTTTCAGTACTAGTTAGTACTGTCAGTACATAAAACACTTGTTTCATGCAGTTTTCTGTATTTCAAAATAAAATAGCTTTCTTAAAAAGAGGTGGATGGGCACATTACTACAAGTCTTTTGTCATGCTGAAAAAGCTTGACAAATTTTTGAAAATGAAAAGCCTGCATTTTTTGGGAGAAAGAGAATGGATTACTTATTGTTAAGAGAAAAAAAAGGTGCGGGAAGCAAAAACTGTTAAAACATAAGGGCAATCCCAAAAGGTTCCATCAATACACCATACGTGGAAAAGTGTCCTATTTTGGTATTACCATGGCAGGTATCATTTTTGGTAATTGTGGAAAGAAAACATGCCAGGAACATTCCAGTGGAGAATATTATAGGTTCTGGCTTAGGAATATCAGAAGTGTGACTATAAAGTAATAAAGCCGATTTACTGAACCACCGTTCCAAATACATATCCAAATGAGTGTCATTCAGTGAAAGTCAGTCACATGAGGAGACTACTTACCTATTCTAATTATGCTATCATTGCTCAAAACAGTTTGGAACTCCATTTTCTAAACTACCTCCCAAAGATAATTTAGGTATGGGTGCAAGAAAATAGGTCTTATTACTTTAATGTCACACCATATTTTGATCAAGATCTATATATTACCCAGCCCAATCACCCACCTTATTCACAAGACTTTGGTTGTTTCCAAAAATCAAATCCACCCTTGAAAGACGAGGTTTTGCCACCATTGAGGATATTCAAAAGAATGTGCCACAGTCTGTGAAGGCAATTCAGAGGAGTTCCAAAAATATTCTGAGCAATGGCAGTGTCACTGCAATACGTACTGAATCTACTGAAGTGACGTAGAAGGAAATAACTAATCTTGATCATAAATTAATGGTATGTTTTAAAAGTAAATCTTGCTCGACCTGTGTTGCTCAGTGGTTGAGTGTCGACCTATGAACCAGGAGGTCATGGTTCAGCTCCCGGTTAGGGCACATGCCTGGGTTGTGGGCTCGATCCCCAGTGGGGGGCAGGCAGGAGGCATCTGATCAATGATTCTCTCTCATTATTGATGTTTCTCTCTCTCTCTCTTCCTTCCTCTCTGAAATCAATAAATACTTTTTAAAAATAAAATTAAAAAAGTAAGTCTTAACCTGCTAGTTGTTTTTTTAAAATATTTACTTGGGTATTTGCCCTACAGTGGTAAATTTTGTACCATGTTCTTTTCTAAGGATGAGCTAGCTAGAGAATAGGTGCTATTTGAGAAAAATTTTTTCATGTGAGTAATAATCAGGAAAGGGCCCTCATTGTTCTCCTAAACCTATATGAGGTGCATTAAAACTCCTATTTCACAGGTTAAAAAAACACAAAAAAAAACTTCATGAGCTTAACAAATACTTACCCATGTCATTAACAAAGATGAAGAATAATAAGAAGATAAATACAATGGATTTCCAAACATCAGCACGAAACAAAGGAGAACTGAAATCTGAAAAGTGAAGGAAAAAATGTCTCATCATTATTGGATCTATAGCACAATGCAGACTTGGTCTACAGGCACACAGCCATTCCAATACAAACATTTTATGCATAAATAAGATTAATAAATAGGTCTTGGCTGAATGATAATAGAATTTCAACACACTGATAGATTCTAAGTGGTTTCAACACCATGAATTCTATATAGAAAAATTTAATTTTTTTTCTCTGTCTGCTACTTGGTACAAAGAAAACTGCAAAAATATTATTTCTCTTGATTCAATAATGGAGTAATATAATAAATAAAACTTAGTTGTATTAATTTTTATCTTATTTTTGTTGCACTACCTGAGGATTTCTATTAATAAGGAAGCTTTATTTTATGTTCTTAGCTAGAAAATATTTATGTTATTAAAGGAGAGGTGTTTAGAAACTAAGATAAAACCAAAAATGCAAAAAAATAAAATTTACAGTGTCATATTCATGCACAGTGCTAGAAATTTCAGGTCTCAGGGAAAAGACAGTTTCAAAAATAGTGACTAATAATAATTAAAACATAAAAATAAAAGTTTCAGAGATTAAAAACATCAACTCTGTAGTTGAAAGTATGTTGTAATATGGTATCTGTAATGTACATTTCCATTTTGATGTATTAAATAAAACTTGAAAGAAGGCATCCCTGAGATCTTATTTTAATACTTGACTTATAAGTACAAAAAATGTTACCATGTTCATATAAATGATCTTCTTAAATGTGTTTGGCTCAATGTACCCCACAACATACATAGGAAATAATGAGGCTATCTGAAATAAAGATATAAAAAAAAGCCAAAGTGAAAAAAATGCAGAAAACAAATACTTCACTATTCATAAGCAAAGTACAAGTAACAGTGGAATCATATTTCTAATATTCTAATAATGATAAAGAAGTAATTTCAACTAACCTTCTCATTGGGAACTAGAAGAGCTAGGGAAAATACCTGAATGGAAGCCACAAATTACTAACAAGACCAAAAAAAAAAAAAAAGAAGCCAAGACCAAAGAAAAGATGGAAATCTGCAGTGCTGAGCATGACAATTTGGGGCACTTTTCTCCCAGGGGCATCTGCCAGTTCCAACAGTAGCAGATGCCTGCCAGTCGACATGCAGGTGGGAGATTTCCAGACTCAGAAGTGAAAGCACACCAAGAATGAGATCCTTGCTAAGTCCACAGGCTTTGGCATGGGGCTTCAAAGAACTATACCAAAAGAGCCAGAAATCAAGCAGTGCTCAGAAAGATGAAAGCCTTTGACCTTTATCATTCTCTCATCATATGAGGGTGATTCAAGATTGTTAAGTGTCTTTATTTGCCTGCTGGCAGCAAATCTAATCTTCTCTGGAAGATGTTAGTATCAACCTAGTCTCAAATGAACTGTTCATGTACAATGTCCAACACCACATCAAAACTAACTAGATACAGGAAGAGATAAGGCATTATTACAAACACAATGGAAACAGATCCTTAATCTACTTCAGGGGTCAGCAAACTTTTTATATAAAAAGCCAAATAGTAAATGTTATACTGTGTGGGCCATATATAGTTTCTATTTTATACAGTAAGTTACCACTTAACATGGTCAATAGGCTTCAGTGACTTTAAGCTAAAAGACATACATGAAAACAATTTTACCACAGGCTAATTGATGTAAGTTCTCATGGGATCTCATCAATGTTATAACAATATAGTATTAAATGAAACGATGGTTAAGGACCTGCTGTATTCTTTCTCAATTTTTTTGTTGTTGTTAATCCTCATTCGCAGATATTTTTTCCATTGATTTTTAGAGAGAGTGGAAGGGAGGGGGACTGACAGCGGGAGAAACATCGATGTGAGAGAGACACATCGATTGGTTGCCTCCCGCATGTGCTCCAACCAGGGCCAGGGATCGAGCCTGCAGCCGAAGTACCCGAGACCCTTTGGTGCATGGGCTGATGCTCTAACCACTGAGAAAACTGGCTAGGGTTCTATTTTATTTTTGAACAACACTTTAAAAATATAAAAACCACTCTTAGCTCACAAATCACTCAAAAACCTGATCGATGATTCTCTCTCATCGATGTTTCTAACTCTCTATCCCTCTCCCTTCCTCTCTGTAAAAAATGAATAAAATATATTTAAAAAAAAAAAGAAAGAAACAAATTGAAAATGTACAACTAGATACTACAATAACCAAAATTAAGAAGTCAAAGACAGGGTTAAAAGCAGGTTAAACAAGTGACAAACTAAAAACAGGTCAGAAGAAAACATCTAGAAAAAAGCATAAAATGACAAAGGGGTGAATAATATATGCAAGAACATGAGCGATGGAGAGTATATGCTGTAAAAATCTAATATATTTTACTTTACATCTCAGAAAGGGATAAGGGAATTAAGTAAAAGCTATATTAAAAGAGATTTTACCTGAGAAGTTCCCAAAATTTATAGAAAAAAAATCAAGCACTGATTTATAAACTATTACAAACCCCAACAAGAGATAAATTAGAATAAATAAATCTGACCACACTTTGGCATATCATAGTAAAAACTGCTCAAAGCCAAAGGCAAAGAGAAAACTCTTGAAAACAGTTGGAGACTAACTGACTTTAAGACTTACTACAAGGCTACAGTAACTGAGACACACGGTATCAGAGAAAGAATAGACAACTGACCAGAGGAATAAAAGAGAGAGTGCAGGAACAGATGCTTACAATTATAGGCAACTGAGCTTTGACAGAGGAGCAAAGGTAACTCAATGGAGAAATGACAGCCTTTTTAACAAACAGTGCTGGAAGACTTGCACACCGGGCACAAAGAATAAATCCAGACCTAGACCTTACACATTTCATGGTCACATCTACTGATTCCCTCCTCTATGATATAATAAAAAAATTAACTCAGCCTGACTGACGTAGCTCAGTGGTTGAGCACAGACCTATGAACCAGGAGGTCACGGTTTGTCTCCAGGTCAGGGCACGTGCCCAGGTTGTGGGCTCGATCCCCATTGGGGGGGCTTGCAGAAGGCAGCCAATGATTCTCTCTCGTCATGTTTCTATTTCTCTCTCCCTTCCTGTCTGAAATCAATAAATATATATATAATTTTTTTAAAACTCAGATCAGCTTCTTGCCATTAAGTACTGAGTTGTTTGGGGAAATAGGATATGGTCTCAATTCGCTCAAGAAATATTATGATTAAAGTTGAGAAATGGTGTCCAGTGAGACTCTGTCCTTCAGACAGAACGGCTGATGTTTAAGCTGGAGTAGAAGCAGAAGCCCCACCATGAGGAATAGGATTGGCCCTTACCATGTTGTATAGCTTGGCACCCAAAGTAATTCTGAAGGCAAAGAGTCTACAGGTAGATTTGTTTATAGAGCTCACTTCCCATGCCAACAAGAAAAGTGTGAATTCAAATAATCGGAAAAATATTTTTGCATGTTGACCGTGAGTATCTGCCTAACTAAGCAGTACACTAATAGACTGTAGACTATGATTTGTTATTTTTCAAAAGCACACATATATCTGAACTTCATAATTACTCCATTTTTTTGAAAATCTCTTAGAGCACAAATATAATCGCACTGTAACACCTGTATAGAAACAACCAAGTACATTTGCATTCAACTTAAATTGGCCTAAAATCATCTTACCTGCGTAAAAAGTATGAACTGTGCAAACTGCCAGGGAAGCATGAAAGCAACATTGGAGAGGCAAAGCGCAATGAAATACCTGCCGCTGCTGTGCGAGAGCCTGAGGGAGAGAACTGACACCAATGAGTTTGCCCCTAAAAGTAGCCCATCACTGAACACAACAACTAACGGCAACATGGCCACATCCGATGACTCCCTCCTCTTCGCTAGAAGACAAGATGTAGTTAACTTTTAAAAGCTCGTTAAAAAGAACTTCAGTGCTACTTGGATTATAAAAATGTTTAGCATAAAACAGTCTGAATCTGAGCTTTAAAAGGAAATATCAGACCTTGTTTATCTGTAAATATCATCCAGTGAGAGGCTCACTGGAAAACCTATTTCTAGGATGAAGTTATTAATGGGATTCTACTGTTTATGTTTTTGTTGTTGCTGTTTCTCAGACTCTTAAAGTCTGAAATGCTTATAAAATTAATTCCAGCAAAAATAAATCTGTCCAAGAAAAGCACCTGAGATGAAACCGATGGAACTGCTAGAAACAACAGGGGTTAAGAAATTTTCACAAATATCTAAATATATATGCTCCTTGTCTATCTAACCGAGCATTTCCCAAGTTCAACCTTACATGGGACACTCCTTTCGCAGAATACACATTCATGTTCCCTCAAAACCACAGGTGGGAAAATGATGAGTCAGATTACATAAGCTTGGAGGGGGGAGAAAATAATAGTTTCCTTAAAACCTTGGAATCTTTAGCAAATACACATAAAAACTTACGTTCTGATTTATTAAAACATCATGTAGTTATCTAAAACTTAGTATTTTAGATTATTTTAATTGGCTATTCAACTTATTTTAAAAGTGACTAAAAAAAACAGCACCTACATTTGAATAACTTTTTTTTCGTTTTGAATAACTTAATAGGTTGATGCGTATTTTAAGAAACGTACCTTATAATATACTTAGATTTGTTTCGTAAATAAAAATTACCTGAGGATCAAGGTTAAAATGCACATCTGAAGCACGAGAAACGGGTATGAGAAACTCTCCCGGAGAGGTGGAGTCCACATCACACGAGTAGCCTGAAATCAGTAAAATGCTTATTCACTTTCCATTCCTTTGCAATAAACAGTATTAATCTCAAAATCATGGCTGGGGCCTGGCTGGCATGGCTCAGTGGTTGAGCGTCAACTTATGAACCAGGTCACGGTTCAATTCCAGGTCAGGGCACATGCCTGGGTTGTGGGCTCGATCCCTAACAGGGAGTGTGCAGGAGGCAGCCAATCAAAGATTCTCTCTCATCATTGATGTTTCTTTCTCTCTCTCTTCTTCTCCCTTCCTCTCTGATATCAATAAAAAATTTATTTTTTTAAAAATCATGGCTGGGCTGGTTTTAGTGCTTTAATACCACGCTCATTCACTTCTGAAAATGCCTGGTATAGTTTCTCAGTCTTTGGAGCTCTCTGAATGACACCGCCATGAGGTAGAGGGCCATTCACTGGCAAGTGCAGAAACGGGAAAGCTCTGTAAGGCCCTGTGTAGGAAACGCAAAGGATAAACAGGATAGTGGGTACAGGAGCAGTAGAGTCTAGGATGGAAAAACAGACCCACACCCCAGCACTGCAGTGACGACCCTGGTATCCCAAGGAGACGTATACACGCCCAGGAAAATGCCTGAACAGATGTTAACTAGGGAACTCACAAATACCACGGGATCATCTCTTTACACAAACATACTTGGTGAATAACAAGGCATTTGTTTGCTTTATGTTACTATATTTAATACATTTATCTATAACTTTATTATTCCCTTGTCTAAAAGATTTTCTTTAATTAACCATCTACCTTTCTCAATGGTGATGAATAAAGGTCATACCGTGTATAAGCTGTGCCATAACATATTTCATATTTTGCTTCCGAAAACTAGACATCAGATTCTCTCACTTTTCACTGCCACATCCTCAGCACCTAACAGAGAGTCTGGCACATTACACACACTATATTTTGTTGAATGAATGTATCCTATCCTATATATCAAAAGCCTAATATGCAAATTGACCAAACAGTGGAATGACGAGTCACTATGATGCGCACTGACCACCAGGGGGCAGACACTCAATGCAGGAGCTGCCCCCAGGCCAGCCAAGGCAGGTGCCAGTGGGGGGAGGCGGGGGGGTTGATCGCCCCACAGATAGGCCCTGATCGCCAGCCAGGCCTAGGGAGCCTACCAATGCATGAATTTCGTGCACTGGGCCTCTCGTTCTAAATAACTTCCTACAAACTCTTTTAAGGTGGCATGCACTGTTGGACTGAACTGGTTGCGCTCTATTCTGACTCAGCATTTTGTGTTACTGAAAAGGCAGCATCATGCAATAGAAGAAATGAGGCTTTAGAGCCAGACAGATATGAATGGGAAACCCAGCTTCCTCATGTAGTGAATGTGAAATCTTGGGTACGGATCTTAACCTCTGTAAATTTCTATTTCAAATCTTCTGTGAGGATAACAGCCATCTTCCCAAAAAGGTTTGGCAGGAATAAATGCGATACAGAGTGCCTAAATTCAACAAGTACGGTATTTCATTTTTTTGCGAAATATATGTGTATGAGTGCATACACTAAAAACCAGGCAAGACATTTCATGTCACAAATTCTAATTATGAAAAATGTGGGTCAACAGGATTAAATATCAATTTACAACACAAGGCTCTTTAAAGTATTGGGAAGTTCTAAGTAATATGCAATTATATATTGTTTTGATGGATATATTTCTTTGTTCCTATACAATCCCTTCTATTTCTTAAAAATTATTTTCTAGAAAACAAACCTCTCCATGGTTGAAAAAGTAGCATAATACTGTAATTAGACCTCCAAAGTGAGTCCCACTGTAAGAAAAGTATACAATCATAATTCATGCAGAATATAGTGAGTTTTACACAAGATTATCTTAGAATTTAAAATCATATTTAAAATGTCATAGTATTAAGCCATATAAAATATAAAATAGTAAACATTTTAAAAGTACGTTGTTGATGCTTTAATGTTGAATGTACAAACATATAAAGAGTACATATAAAATAATCTGAATTTTATATTTACTTTCTAAATAAAATTTATAAGATGTGAACATAAGATCATATTTAACAAACAGGCCACACTTCAGAGTCTCTATTGCATTCTTTGAATATTCAGAATGGAGGCAGATTTTTGTCTTTTGACTAAGGGATGAAAACAAGAGTCTAACAGTTTCATTTAGCAGTATCTTGAAACTGTCTAAATTCCTGCAAATATTCTTGAGTCCCAATGAAAACAACAATGTAGAATACAAAAATCAGACCGAGGGTAACCATCAAAGGTCGAGAACCATTTCCTCAAGTGGCCTTTTGTTTGTGCGTGTTTCATCACTTATATCCACAGCTCCACACTTGGAAGACACTAAGTATTGGCTGAATGATTGAAAAAGGAAGAAATAGTTTTTATAAAAAACACCAGAGGAAAGCAGATGGGAAGTGATTTGCCATTAGCAAGTTTTCACTAATGGAAATTCAAAGGGTGCATTTTGAAAAGTAAGAAATTGAGAGAAGGAATGTCTGAGAAGAACAATACTGTATATAGAAACTAGGAACATGTGGGTAAAACTAAGATTTGACAACATAAACAATAGAGTAAAACACACACACACAAATAAATCCTGTGGAGGGGCAATAGGAGCACTAAACTGTGGTAATAATGATAAGATGCCAGGGGCTGTTTTGAAGCAAAGTGTTACAAAATTCCGTTCTGATGAGGAGGACAGGGAAGAGGTGTAGAGGTGATGAAGTTAGACATGCATGTTAACATGTTAGCCTCAGCCACCAAAACAACAGAAATGGAGCAGCTGCTTTCCACGTTGGTGCCAGTGGGGGAGGGTGGCCACAGTAAGAAATACAAACTATCCCCACAAATTCCTACTTTCGTTTCTCATATGCCATTCAATATCTCCAGTCTTAGTGAACGTCTATAGTCAACATCTGCTGTATCTACATGACCTTCCTAAAGACAGAAGCTTCCTTTGACATTCCAGAACTATGTAACTAATTTAGAGATGATAACTCTTCGATTGCTCAGCAATAAAAAATATAAATTTTAAAAAGTCTTAGTCTTGTGTAACATTTTCCATATTTAACGAAGCACAAGACATACAAACTACTTTCTAAAATATCTTTAAGCCTGACACCATAATCTTAAGTAATCCTTTCCCCCCTCAAAAAACTGTGATGTGCTTAAGTCTATTTTTCCTATATGGCATACATATAGGAAAGTACATGAAATTTCTAGAGAATTTATGGGGTAATTATACAGTGAACATCCCTGCTACCACCTGTCATTGAGACAGAACCGATTGCACCCGAGTCCCCACTCGTCATCCCTTGAGACAGCCACTATCCTGACTTCTGCGATGATCAATATAGCCACTTCTATGTACATATCACACTATCATTTACTTTCATCTGCTTTTAAGTTTCAAACAAATGGAAGTATGCAGGATTTCATTTTGTGCCTGCCTTCATTCATTCAATATTATAATATTTGTCCATGTTGGTGTGTTAGCCACAGCTCTCATTCTTTCTCACTGTTGACCGGTATTCCACTATATTAATAAGCTGAAAAAAATCTACAAATGTTCCTACTAATAAATTGATCTCATTAATTATCCTTTTTCTATAATCAACAAATGTCAGCCAGGCCTTATAAGTCCACTACAAGATCTTACAATACAGTAGTCTTACCTCAGACACGCACCATATATGAAGAACATCGACATCATTACTCCATTTAAAATAAAAATCACACCAACATAAAAGCAGGCAGGGTCTCCCACTCCTTTAAAAAGACACAGATTATTTAGTATTTAATAAATAAATGACTATAAAGTAACTGGACATAATGACTGCAGTGCTTTGTAATCAAGAATTCATGAAATTTGCTGAAAGCATTTGCTTTACAGATTGCTTCTCTATTTAACAGTTCATTAGTACTTTCCCCTTACATGAGATCAGTTACATTCAGATTTTATACTTTATTGTGGCTACATTTATACTTTCCCCCAATTAATTATTATTATACTGTAATAATTAGTTGGTGCTTCATTCTATTTAGGAAATAAATACTGCTACTGTTCAATATCTGGAACTGTCTGTAGAGTCACTTGATGAATTACAAGAGAAAATCCACTGCATTATTATCTTTTGCTTGGTTCTAGGATGAGTAAGATATGGGCCCTGACCTCAAGGAACAGCTTTAGACTATATGAGATAACCTAGTTATTTGATCCATCATTATGTATATAGCCAGAACCTTAAACATTAACATATAATGAATCCTGTACACAAGACTAGATAGACATGTATAAAATATATTAACACACAGTGGACTCGGTGCTTTACAACAAATCTATGAGATTAGTTGTTAAGAAAATAATTTAAAAAAAAATAATAATTTTTAATGATTGAAAAAACAGAACATAGAAAATTTAAATAGCCCAGCCAGCATGGCTCAGTGGTTGAGCGGCAACCTTTGAACCAGGAGGTCATGGTTTGATTCGTCGTCAGAGCACATGCCCAGGTTGCAGGCTCTATCCCTGATGTGAGGTGGGCAGGAGGCAGCCGATCAATGATTCTCTAGCATCATTGATGTTTCTATTTCTCTCTCCCTCTGAAATCAATAAAAATATTCTAAGAGTTGAAATGTTATTGCAAATAAATCTATTAAAAATATTTATAAAATATACTAAGCAGTCATGTTGTGGAGAATTGCAGAAATGAAGAGAAAAACAGCTATGTAAATGCTATGCAAGTAGATACATGTGACTTCGAATATCAGTTCAAGGGACAGCATCACAGTAGACTGTAAAGTGAGAAACCGCACACGTCTTAAATAGCAGCAACCATTACTGATCCCGGAAAACTGTGACCTGTTCCAAAAGCGGTTCTTTGACTAAGATACCAACGTAGAAGGTGCATATGAAGAGTGGGAAATACTTCTAAATCAGTCTGCTATTGTATATCTGATTTTATGTTTCCATAACTAAATTTTTATATTAATTATCACGGGTAGATATTTCACTGTTTAATCTACATCCCCACATTTAGGTATTCAAGCTACCCTAAAACTTTTTTGTATCTTATTCTGAAATGGAAGGAATGACTTAATGTCAGGACTGTCTTGCACCGAGGTATATTAATATTCTAATTCTAAACACTCATATTAGTAAGTACATACCCTTCTCAGAAAATTACTTTAAAGAGGAACCAGTTATAGTCTTTTAAGAAAATCAATCACTAGTTTACAATAATTCTTAAAATAAGTCCTAACAGTATAAGATGTTTATGCAAACATTAGTGACAACATAGCAGCATTTTAGGAAAAATAAACATGCCTTCACAGCTTTGAACTTCACTTAGAGGTTGGACTCTTGTGACATTCCAGCAGGTCTTAGTTTCTATCCCAAATACATTCATTATTCCCACAAATGTGCGATACCAGAAGGCCAGAATCACCTACAACAGATAAAAACAAAGAAGTGAAGGAAAATACATTATCTTCATAATTTTTTCAAAATATCACTTCATGATGGTTGCCTTTGACATTATAAACTTTGACAAATTTATTTCAATCATTTCACTTGGGAAACAGTCATTTTAAAATTATACACACGCATTATAAACTACAGTTGTATATTACAGAATAATGAACATGTGTAAAAATTTAATGTAATCAACATGCCTGTAATATACTCTTATAATAAACTCTAACATAATAGTAGCTGTAAAATCAAGTATAACATTCTATATTAAAACATGATGATTAATAGTCATATAAATCTTTGTATTTTGCTATTTCATAACATGTTACTGAGGTCCTTGAATTTATTTAATTCATAGTCTAAAAAATATTTAACCAACTGCATATGGAATAATAGCTCCTGTGCCCATTAAAACTCTAACCAAGCAGATTTAACCAATTCTTCTCAATCTGAAATCCACTTTAAAAAGTGTAATAAAGACAAATGAATATAACAAAATATTGCAAACAAAATGGTCATACCTGGTAGATTTTAAAAAATTATTTTATCGAGTTGGGAGAAATAATGCAAGATGATTTTTAAAAAGAAAAAAGAAAAGAGTTCAAAGTAAAAGTAAAAATTGCCTAGAGCCAAGTACTTTAAAAGGTTAGTGATCATCCCTCTAGTCCAGAGGTTCTCAACCTGTGGGTCGCGACTCCTTTGGCGGTCGAATGACCCTTTCACAGGGGTCGCCTAAGACCATCCTGCATATCAGATATTTACATGACGATTCATAACAGTAGCAACATTACAGTTATGAAGTAGCAACGAAAATAATTTTATGGTTGGGTCACAACATGAGGAACTGTATTTAAAGTGCCAAAAGGTTGAGAACCACTGCTCTAGTCTCTCCCCAGGCATATAAAAACACATAGAGTTTTTCAATATTATATTACTCTTACTAATGAATATTATATATATTTCAGAGAGGAAGGGAGAGAAAGATAGAAACATCAATGATGAGAATCATCGACTGGCAGCCTCCTGCACACCCCCTACTGGGGACAGAGCCCACAACCTGGGCATGTGCCCATGCCTGGAATTGAACCCGGGACCCTTCAGTCCACAGGCCAATGCTCTATCCACTGAGCCAAACCAGCTTAGGCTGAAAATCATATATTATTATTCCTACTAAAAAAACTTTGTAAACATCTTTCCATGTCCAAAAAGCACAGATTTACTATTTCATAACTTAGTTTTATAAAACTGACATTCTGTTAAAATGTGTAATTTTTGTTTTTGTGCATTTATCATACAGGTAACAAAACATTATCATATTGAATGAATGTGCTAAGAATTATACTCCTAGAATTATACTCCTTTCTGGGATGTAGCTTGATACAGTAGAAAACCATGGCTTTGAAATCAAAACTGAACTCAACTTTTCACGTTACAAGTTATTGTTTCCATGGCCTGAAGCAATCCTTCAGCCTCTGAAATGCAGCTGTCTCATCTCTAAAATGCTCAGATGCCCAGGTTTCGATTTAAAATCACTCATCACATTAAAATCTCAAACTTAATGGAAAAAAATCAAGATTCCAACAATGAGATGACAAAAATATTAGTTATTGCTCCAATGAGCAATTATGAACATGTTTAAAACAAATGGAAACACAGAAAGTCTTAGGAAAAAATGAAGTCTTAGCAAAAAACAAACAAAAAACAGAATATATAAGGAAAAAAAATGAAAAATACAATAACCAAAATAAAAATTCAATGGATGGGCTTAACAATAGAATGAAGGAAACTGAGGGAAATAATCAATGAATTGGCAAACAGAACACTAGAAATTACTCAATTTGAGCAACTAAGAGAAAAAAATCATAACAAATCCCTAGGGGCCTGTGGGACTACAACAAAAGAGCTAATGCTTGTGTCAATGGAGTCCTAAGAGGAAAGGAGAAAGAGGAAACTAAACCTGAGCAAACCAAAAATAGGATAAAACCAAAGAAATCCACACCAAATGTATCACACTTTTTAAAACTTTTAAACATCATACTTTTGAACACTTGTGAAAACTAAAAAAGATAAAATAGTGAAAGCAACAAGGAAGAGAAAAAAATCTTTCCTTAAAAAAGAAAAACAATTCAACAAGTAGATTTCTCACCAGAAACCATGGAGGGCAAGAATAAAGTGGCACATTTGTCAAATGCTGAAAGAAAAGCTGTCAATACAGAATCCTACATCCAACAAAAATCGCCTTCAAGAATTAAAGGTAACTCGACATAAAAAATTAAGCAAAACTAAGGAAATATGTTGTCATAGATCTATCCTAAAAGAATGACTAAAGAAAATTCTATGAATAGAAATGAAATTATCAGGAAGAGACAATTTTTTAAAATAGATAAAATACTTTTCTTCTCCTTTTGAGTTCTAAAAAATAAGTATGATGGCTAAAAAGCAAACATCTGATGTAGTTTTAAATGGATGTAGAGAAAATATTTAAGATGATTATGTTATAAAGGGGTAGGTGTAAAGAGATATAAAGAAAGGTAAGGTTTAATTAGAGCTAGTAATATGATAATAGCAGAAGACTGCAATAAGTATGTATAAAATGTAACAGCTACAACCACTAGAAATCTATATAAAGAATATTAAAACACTATAGTTAAATTAAAATAGAATACTAAAAAATGTACTAGTAGCTCACAGGAAGACAGAAAAAGAAAACAGGGAAATGAAAATCCAGAACAAAGAGAAAACAAAAAAATTATAGACTTAAGCCCAAACATATTAATTACATTAAAAGTGGTAAAATACACCAATCAAAAGATAGAGATTGACAGATGCTAGACGATATTCAAAATCAACTGTAAATCCTATACAAAAGCAACAGAAGATGGAAAAATAAAAGTATTACCGTTAACAACAGTGAAAATAGTATTTATAGAAGACTGTATGGCTGAAAAATACAAAATACCGCTGAGACAAAAATGATTGGAGATCTACTCTATATCATAGATTGGAGGGTTTAATATTAAGATGTTGACTCTTTCCAATATATGTATAAATCCAATGCAATCAAAATCTCAATAAGATTTTTGGAGAAACTGATAAACTGACTCTAACATTTACACAGAAACACAATTTTGACACCGAAAAACAAAGTTAGAGAACTACCTTGTTTTAAGATTTACCATAAAGTTACAACCATCAAAGCAGTGTGGTATTGGCATAAATATGGACATATAGAACAACAGAATAGTAGGGAATCCAGAAACAGATCCATACGTAATAACGTCACTCAATTCTTAACATATATGCCAAAGCAATTCAATGGAAAAGGACAGTTACCACAAAGACGCACATGGGAACTTTTTGGTATTATTGTCAATGTTTTATAACTCAATGGCGGTTTGGTTATACAGTTTTATACATCTGTCAAATGTATAACTAAAAGAACTGTGTACTCAAAATGGTGTGTTCTATTGCATGTAAGTTACACCTCAACAGAGCTGATTAAGTGAAGAGAAAGCAGCCAGAAAGAGGGAAGATATGTCAGCATGTATTACTAAGGATTCCGCTATAAAATATGTAAATTATGCCCACAAATAAGACAACAGCCATCAAATAGGTGACAAATATTTACACAGGTAATTGACAGAAGAAGTTCAAATGTCTATTAAACATGAAAATATTCTTAACTCCACAAAAAATAAGGGAAGTACAGATTAAAACAAATCCAGGAGAGGATTTGATACTCTATTCAACTATAAGGACACACACAATCAATAAACTTTAAAGGTCCCCTCCTTTATAAAACACCGTGTTCACTTACTATTTTTATCTAATAAAAAAGAATCGCTCAAATTTCACTCACCTCTGGATAAAGATGGAAGCGTTTCACTGTGTTGATTACAAGGGGATACTCAGTGAGCCTGTCATTCATAATTGTCCACAGTCCTTCCAAAAACGAAGGTGCTTGGATAATGGTCTTGAAGTAGGAATAATAAAGTCCCTTAAAAAGGCACAAATTGTCAATGTAAGTAAAGTTTGAACATATTTATTTTTATAACTCCTTTCAGAACAGTTTTTTTGTAGGAAAAGGTTAATAACAAGGCCTCCTAGTTCCTCCTTGCTACTACTGCCTTCTTAGGCTCAAAAGGCATACTTTTTAGGTTATCAATGTGCTATTCTTTCATAAGTTCTGTAGGTTTCAATGGATGTAGAGAAAATATTTAAGATGATTATGTTATAAAGGGGTTAGGGTAAAGAGATGTAAAGGTAAGGTTTCTATACCTCATTAGAGCGAATAAAATGATAATAGCAGAAGACTGTAATAAGCCATGTATTACATTTTACAGATTATGTATCAAAACAACAAAAAAATATTAGAGGTTTTAAAGTTCCCTCTTAAAAGAGATTATCTTGAAGTCAAGAGCTAAAAAAAAGGGGGGGAGAAAAAGTTAGGTACTAGTAAAACATGGGGTCTCCCAACTCTAACCCGACAGCCAGCATTTTCTGCTCACATGTGATGCCCTATATCACTTCTTGAGGGTTGTCTTTGTTCTCCTCTTCCTCTGCTATTATAATTGACCTTTATTATCTTAAAGAGAAGTCCATGTCAAGAAAGGAGGAGAGAAAATGAGGTAAGCAAAAGAATCCTGAAGCACTTTCTACTTGAGTAATAACCCTAAGTCAGTGGTCGGCAAACTCATTAGTCAACAGAGCCAAATATCAACAGTACAACAATTGAAATTTCTTTTCAGAGCCAATTTTTTAAACTTAAACTATATAGGTAGGTACACTGTTATTAACTTAATTAGGGTACTCCTAAGGCTTAGGAAGAACCACACTCAAGGGGCCAAAGAACCGCATGTGGCTCGCGACCCACAGTTTGCCGACCACGGCCCTAAGTCATAGCTTGAGGAACAATGCAGTTCACCAAAAACGCATTTCAGTTCCTCATAACTGTCCGATAATTATGTCCATAAATTAAGCTACAAATTAATTCATTAGAAAAAAAGAACCTAACCATTTCAGTGCGAAAAGTCATTTCCCGTTCCAAAGATGAGAGGTGAGAAAAATGACGATCATTTTCAAAAAGTATTGACAAATGTATCCTAGAAAGAAGAAAAAAAGCACCATATTATAATAAAAACATGTTTCAGACATGTCCTAAAATAACTAAGTTATAAATTTTTACAGTAAACGTTGACTTAACTTTATAGTTTATTTACTGGCTTGTCTGTCTTCAGGCACTCAGTCTAAGCACAGCACCCACTGAAACTCAACTCCAGGCCCTCAACCAGAAAGGAGGTTAAGTTTGGGTTTGTTAATTTCACAAGTGCCTCTAATGTACCAGCTTGTGGAAATGCCTCTGTAAGTGTTGAAAAGCCTGTGGAATGTCATTTTAAATAAAACTACTTTACATTAAAGCTATTACAAATAAGGATAATTCCATATAAGGAAGGAATCAGCTTTCAAGTGTCAAAGAACTCAGAACATCAAGATGTTTTATCAGAGCAGCTAAAGGCAACAGCTGCAGGCAGAGGAGATGGGGGCGTGTGTGCTGAGCAAAAGGAGTACAGAAAATAAACAGAGCCATTTTGCTTTCCTTCACTTACATAGCAGACTCTTTCCAATGAACAGAAAACAGCAAAATTCCACATACCAATCCTGTCTCCACTCACCTTCATCGACATGTGGGGCGTGTGCCAGGCTACCAATAACGGCCAGGAATAGTTCTTACCATCACAGCCCTAGTTCTAACATCAGAGTCTCCCTGCAGACCAAACGGCCAGAATAGCACTGCCCCAAGAGGAGAAATCCCGGAGCTCAGGTAAAAATGGAAATATGTAAGAGGTAAACTACTATAATTTTTACCAAAAACATCACTTGTGCAAAATAAGGTACATGTGCACTGACGTCTCATTGAACTCTGTATTACCATTGAGAGTCTTGATCTTCATTTCTACCCGATTTCCAATTGACAGGTGTTACTACAAGTTAACAGCTAAGCTTATGTCAGCTAGCACACTCCGTTACTGTAAAGTAAGGGAGTTTTTTAGATGAAATAAACATGCAGAGTACATTAGGAAATCTAGATATTTAAGAAATACAGGAGTGAATCCTTTGGTAAAGCACAAGTATTGTAAGGCATAAGTTACTATTCCCCTAACATGCCCATTTTGTAAATGCTGCTTCACATATGCGGTTTTTAAAAAGGTAATCTGGCCCTAGCCGGTCTGGCTCAGTGGGTAGAGCGTTGGCCTGCCAGGTTCCATTCCGATCAAGGGTACATATCTTGGTTGCAGGCTCCTCCCTGGCCCGAGCCCTCGTGCATGAGGCAACCAAACACATCGAAGTCTCTCTCTCTTCCACTCTCTCTAAAAGATCAATGGGAAAATATCCTTGTGTGAGGATTTAAAAATAAACAAAGTGTAAAAAAAGTAACCTGTATGTATCAACTGATAGATACACATTCAGATGATGTTCTATACACATACCAAACAGTTATGGCTTATTGTATATGAACAGTGATGGCAATTTTTAATTAAAATGCTTTTATTTATTTCAAACTGAACCTAATCTTACCAGTGCATAACTCCCACAAAGATACCTGGAAAAATAAAAAGAAATAAAAGTCATTAAAAGTTGCTTTCTTATGATAATTATAATATACCTTTAAACCAACTATTTCAAATGCATTCCCTGTACGTCTAGCGAGAACACACAAGCAAGGTGGCTAAGTCTGTCTACATAAGTTAGGAAAAAATCCAGAAGCTCATAAAACAAATTGTGAGTAGCACTTACCTCTGCAGGGGGGAGTTGAGCAAAAGGGAAGACTTGGGAAATCATGTCTCCTTCACAAAATTTGCAAAAGAGTGATGAAATTCCTGATTTTTTTTCAGTATCCTTCTCTCTTGTTATCACTGTTATTCTCTATTTCTTTACATCAACTTTTAACAAAAGAGTCACACATACACAACATAACCAGTCCCATCCTTCCAGAAGTGACTCGGCCACAGGAGCCACTCTAGCCCACTTCCCCTGGTGCTCAGCAGAAGATGGCAAAGGCAGGACATGCTTCCTCAGCAGCACCCCTGAGAGCCCCTTCCCCAGCCCCGGGCCTGGGAGGCTCACCTGGAGTCCCCAGGTCAGCGTTGTAGGAAGGAGGCTTATCAGGGAGTTGCCAGGCAGGTCAAACCATGACACCACTGTGACCTCCAGAGGGTGGACTTGTTGAGGAGCTCCACACACTGTGTGACCCCTCCGGTGGCTGGCACTCTGTTAGTTAATTTTTAAGGGTACCATGGAGCTGGGGAGAAGGGATGGTAGGAGGCCAACTTAAACCACCACAAATGCCCCTGTTCTTACAGGGTTTCAGCAGGTTTTCTTGAACAAACACGTTCTAGAGCAGTGGTTCTCAACCTTCCTAATGCCACGACCCTTTAATACAGTTCATGTTGTGGTGACCCCCAATTTCATTGTTACAAATTGAGCATAATTAAAGCATAGTGATTAATCACAAAAACAATATGTAACTATCTATGTGTTTTCCAATGGTCTTAGGCGACCCCTGTGAAAGGGTCATTTGACCGCCAAAGGGGTCGAAACCCACAGGTTGAGAACCTCTGTTCTAGAGTGTTGTAAACCTTTGGTTAATTTCCAAAGATCTGAAAAAGTTGATTCTCATAATGCTCCAAGTATTTTTTGTTACTGTCACAGAGGAGTGAATTTACTTAGCTATTCCTGATGTCCTGTCTCCCCTCCAAGATTTTATAAGGGTATGTCTCATGGTGGTCCCAAAATATACTTGGCAATACATTTTACCGACCACCACCAATAACCTCTTAAAGATTCAAAAAAATTACTCAACTTGGCTAACAAAATAAGTGCAAATCAATAACACAATAATAATAAAAATAATAATAAACACCACAATGTTCAAGACTCCCAATCACACTTCTCAGTCTTCTTCCATATTCCTAACCATCCTGGGCTCTTCCTCACAACTGCTCTATACATCTCGGAAGATTTGCTTGTTTTACACCATGACCAGCAAACTACAGCCACTGTCTGCTCCTGTCCTCTAGCTAAGCATGGTCACTTACAAAATAATACTTTCTAATATATTTTCATTGATTTTTAGAGACAAAGCGAGAGGGATAGAGAGAAACATCAATGATGAGAGAGAATCATGGATCGGCTGCCTCCTGCACGCCCCGTACTGGGGATCCAGCCTGTAACCCGGGCGTGTGCCCTGACTGACCGGGAACCATACTGTGACCTCCCGGTTCCTAGGTCATAGCTCAACGACTGAGACACACCGGCCAGTTGTTAACATTTTTAAAGGTTGTAAAAATAAGGAAGAAGAATAGACAATGGAGACTGTATGTGGAGACGCTTAAAATATTTACTACTTGGCTCTTTACAGAAAAGGTAGGTATTCACTACATATGTTAACACTTTTTATTGAAATAGAATCATCTCTGGACCACTTTGAAATGGAACCTGCACCTTCTCTCCCCACTCGGAACAGCGGCCCCTCTGATAAGGCTCCATTGGCTTTAAAATACACAGACCCTGGCCCTGGGCACGAAAAGGTTTCAGCTCAAACCCCTGGAGGGGGCGCGCTCTCTCTCAAAAACAAACACAAAATCAGTGAAAAAACAATCCATAAATAAAACACAAAGAGACTGTATGTCCTACTCAACTACATTTGCATCCTCTTTCTCATTCTCCAGACAACTACATATACTGGTGAAACTCTTAGAAGTTACATTTAAGGAAAAGGGGGAAATAAAATATCCGATGAAATCGATCTGGCTTTCCGAAAGTCCGCACAACAT